AGAGAGAAAGAGCCCCACCTGGTCCCCCCCATCAGGAAACTGTGTGTCCTTGCCTATCGGGCACAGCTCCGAAAGGGGCCTCCTGCTCATGCTGCCTGTGCCAGCCAGCCCATCAATCACACTGTTCCAGACGACCTGCCCAATCTGCGCGCCGTCTGCCGTGCTGGCTGTTGCTGCCACAAAACAGCCTGTCCTCCAAGCCTGGCCACACAGTGTCGTAGATGCAAAGCACCATTCTTTAGGTCAGCTAATGATAATTTCTATAAAAGCCTTATTTTTTGCCATCACCTTAGTTTATGTCAGTACTATGTCATTTACTTTAAATGTCACCTTGTGTCATTCTGTGTCATGTCGCAGTTACTAACATAAGCTGTTCAGAAATCCTCCAGTATTTTTGAACAGCTGGTGGCAAACAATGCTTATGCATTTTTTACGAAGTGCCTATGTAGGTAGCAGTAAAGTGTTACCCAGCTTAGAATGTACCATACATTTGTATAGAGCATGTTTTAGGCCTTTTACTTCTTATACCCACAATTTGTAATTGAAACCATACTTGTATTTGTGAGATCCTACTAGTGTGAGTTTCCTCCCTTTCAATGATGCACACATAAGCTAGTGGCAGTAGCGCCCCCCTTTCTGTCTGCTGAGTGTGTGTCTTTGAGTTATAAGCCAGGCCCATGGGTGCTTCACATTTACAAACAAAGCCTGCAGCTTTTGAGAGCAGGACCTGGGGAATTTGGGCTGAGAAATGCAAAGCCAGCAAGGTCACAAGCACATACTGAGCACACTGAAACACTTAAAAAGGAATTGAGACGAGTACAGAACTATATTTGCAAATCAAATTGGGTACTCTGGAGACTGGGTAGAGACTCTGGCTGTGTGAATGCCCACACAGACAACTGCGTACAGACAAACACACACACACACATGCATGCACGCGCTCACACGCATGCCAAGACTAGATCTGGGAACAGTGTTCCACTGAAGATTCAATCACACCCACAGTCACGTACACAAAATCTGCTGTTCTATTGTGAAAGAATATTTGTTCCTCGGCCAATGCGTCATATGCTGCTCAGCTAAAAGTAGTGTTGCAACATGAAACACACCAAGCTTTTGCTTTCACGCATGCAGTAGGCCTATATTTATTTTAACAAAAATAAGGGTGGCACCAGTAGCCACAATGCACAACCTGTTGATCACGTGCCTCCACGCATTGTGTCCGGGCTGTTCATCATGCATTTTTGTAGCACTCGTTCAATCTGCATTTATGCTGTGGAAACAGCGTGGGAAATGTTTTTGAGCTATGAGTAAGAGCTAGTGTATGCATTTATGTGTATTACTTTTCCCATCGTGTGCTGCATTCTGTGTGTCTGGGGGTGGAAAGTGTGCCAAATGTGGTTGACAGTGGTATTAGCGCAGGCCCGTTCAGCTGTGGCACTTGTGTACAAAGGCCTTTGAGAAAGTGGATTAGGAGTAAAATGATACTTAACAGGAAATGAGCAGTGGCTACTGATAACTTGACTGACCCCCCCCCCACCCTCCCCACCACTCATCCCGCCCCCAACCTGTCCCTCCATCAACTAGCAGCTAACATTGCTCTGCCTTCACAGATTGTCATGCAAATAGAGTCCCGGCCTCAGGCTCTGATAAGGAGGGTCTGGCATTTTTGCAAATGTGTGACGGAAAAGGGGAGGTGGGGGTCCAGTCAAAGACGGCCCATCCCATTGTGTGTCCGGGGAGAAGTGTTGAGCGAGCTTTGGGAAGGGTGTGTGAATGAGGTGTAAGAGAAGCCCTTTCTTTTTTCTTTTTTTTTACGGCAGGAACCAGTTTGGGCTGTTGACGGACACTGATGGATTTTCAGCCCTGTGCCCCTCCTGTACTGTTTTCCCTCACTCCTCTCTCTCTCTTTCCCTCTCTCTCTCTCCCCAGCCCGTCAGACGATGCCAGTCAGCAGTCATTTCTTGACGCCACCCACGATTTGGCCTTTTCCAAGCAGTTGTCAGCACCTGTCCTGCAGCCACCATATTGCCTCCATTGCTACATAAACAAACGGGTTCACGCACGGTTCAGCCCATAGTCATGGTCTTTCTTTGGCTTTTGTTACACTGACGAAATACCGACAAAGTGTTCCAAACATAGCGCTGTTTTGATAACATGGGCGTTTTCTGATCTGCACTTGATGTTACCGATGGTGTTAGTACCATAACATCCCCTTTGACATATGAAAGTCCTTACGTGCTACTGAAAATGTTGCTAAATGACTGTGATCATTTTCATCTTCCTTACACAATACGAGTTAAAAAAGAACAAACAAACATAACGAGAGAATATTAGGTAATATTGTCGTGTGATAAGTAAACTGAAACACGTACTGGTACTTAATGACCTGTTCCTCTTTTTGCATTTCGGTGTTGGTTCAGAATTACGCTGCATACATTCCAGCTGTACTGTTACTTGGTACTTAATTTCGGTGATTGAGACTTCCTTTCCAGTTTAATACAAATTTGACTTGAGGTTATGTTGGGTTTATTGACCTTTTCAAGAATCTACAGTATCTTTATCTACCAAACGTTTCTCAGGTAGGCTAGCTGACTGCATTGGCTTTGGGTAACCATGGCCATGAACATAGATGTTGTTTGTAAGTTCAGACCATTTGCCTCTCCCTGCCCCCTTCCCTCATCTGTCCCTTTTTTGCTGTTTTCTATCAAATTCCTCCTTTTATGCCCCCTTTTCTTCTTTTTGAAGTCTCCCAGCTCTTGTAAAAAGCCAAGCTGGTGCTTTGCCTGAACCCTGTGGTGTGTGTGAGAGAGGGGGTTTGTAGGTTAAGTTTAGGCTAGCCTCTGTGCTTTCCATTGACCATGGCTGGGGGCTGGGAATGCAGTAAAAAGTTTGAATTTTAGAGCCTCCCTGTTTCTCGTTTTATGATTGGGCCTTTTTTTTACTGGCTAGGGCTACAGCTGGTGGTGTGAATGGCTGCCCGAGGTGACTGAGCCCCTGTAAAGCCCCCGGCAGCCGGGCTGTGGCCTCCGCCCCGGCCCTGAGAGCACCTTTATAGGCCAGGCTTACGAGCCTGGCCCTCTAGTAAAAACCGCCAGGGCCATACTTAGGAATTTAGGGCCAGGAAACAAGAGAAAAATAGGGTTTGTGTGTCAGGGGGGTGGCGGGAGGGTGGAGGGGGTGAGGTTTGAGGGTGACTGCAAGGTGAAAGTGTTACTGTGGGGTCTTTGCGCACTGAGGAAAGCGTGGTACCTGTTTGTGGTTACATATTTGTTGCATGAACTTAGGACCTAGGACTGTTTCATGGGGGCCATAAGGACCAGTTTGAGAACCACTGCTCTAAATAAGCTGTCAATGGGTGGCTTGGAGAACGATTACACCTATATAGTCTTGAAATAAAGGTTCCTAAATGGTTCTTGGCTTGGACCTATGGTTCTAGGAAAAACCCCTAATAGGTAAAGAACAATTATGTGGTGCTTCTTTAAACTGTAAGAAGTTTCTTCACACGTCTTTGCACATTTGATTCAAAGACCACACATTGAAATGTTCTTTAGGGAACAAAAAATGGTTCTTCTGTGGCAACGCTCAAGAGAACCCTTTTGTCACCTTTTGTCTACGAGCCCACACCTCAGTTCCTCACTCTCATATCTACATACACAGTCGTATACAAAAGTTTGGGCACCCCTGGTCCAATTACACCCCTTTTAAAGCACAATTACTGTTTATTTGCTGAGCATATTGGGGAAAAAATACATAACGTTGTCTGTTATGGCACAATTTATATTTCATGTTTTATTATTTTTTTTTTCAATATATAAAACTCAGCAAATAAATAGCAATCATACACTAGGATTTGCAGAAAAATGCTAGTGCATGTTAGGTTATATTAATTTGATGTATTAGCTTCATAGCTCTTACTAAATATTTCATAGCAGGTATAGAACAATAAGTTTTAATAATATAAGCCTAGGGTTCCATGGATTCAAGGGCTTAAGTAATTTGTGATAGTGTCTTGGGAAAGTCAGATGTCACTTGTAGACAGTGAGTGTGTAATTCTGAGTATGTCTTGAAGGAGGGAAAGATATTCACCCCCATAAAGCTGAGTAACACAGGAGCCAGACAGCCGGTTGAGTAAGAATGAGGAAGCCTCAGGCCTGCCACGCGGCCTGTGGCACAGCAGAGCTACATGTCTTATCAGAACATCTGTCAGAGCTACTGCTTATCTGTCTCAGTGTTAAACTGTTTGTTTTTTCCCTCTCTTTCTGTCAATCAAGCCAAACTAATCCTCCTGCAATCCCACCCCCTGAGGAGAGGGCTGGCCAGGGGGAGGTGTTGGGGGAAATGAATTCTACAGACATGTCACCCCCACTTAACCCCCACCAATCTGTCACCATTTACACAAAATACAGATGTAAATGAACAAACACCTATCCAACCTTGAGCCTTCTGTTTAAGGTTTTTACTCTTACTCCAAATGTAGTGCCTCAAACCATGATCTTAAGAATTCTCAAATAGACTTGCTTATGTGGTTTCTGACACTGTATGACATACTGTTACTTATAAAAATGTAGAAAACTTGTCATATAACTAAAAACAATAGTAGCACTTTTCTAGACTGAATTCTGTTCATTCTTTTATCCATTTTTATAGATAACAATATGGCATACAGTGTCAGAAATCATATAAGGAAGTCTGTTTGAGATTACTCAATATATCTATGCAATTTAAGGCAAGGATGTGATGATTTGGCATTGATGCACAATGCTAAACTGATGGCTATAAGCATCCATTACTTGTTAGGTACAAAACTAAAGAAGCTCCTGCCTCTATGTAGTGAAATATAGAGGTTTCTGGCTATTAAGAGTTGCATTTTACGTAATCAGCTTCTAGAAATCAGCTTTCCACCGCACACATTAATCCCACCCCTGCTTTGTTGATATTTTGGGGCATTTGGACAATGTGCCCTTATATATATATCTCTCTTTTCTCTCTCTTTCTAGCGGTGGAGACCCAGAGCACCAGCTCAGAGGAGATGGTTCCCAGCTCTCCCTCTCCGCCCCCACCACCCCGTGTCTACAAGCCCTGCTTTGTGTGCCAGGACAAGTCATCGGGCTACCACTACGGGGTCAGCTCCTGTGAGGGCTGCAAGGTACAGATCCCAACTCCCCCTAGCATCAGCTTGGGAGGATACCTCGGCACTTCAGACTGACCACATTTACATAAGATAATCACATTTTGTCTTATTGATTCCGATTTGCCCATTCTTATTACATGGCCATGGATTGGGTATGTATCCGATCAAGACCATTCATAGTCACTGCCATAACAAAACTTCAGCTCCACATTCTTAACTTTAACATAATGAGATTATATTCAAAGCAGTTTCGGATCATTTGTATTAGTTCATTCATCATGAAGTGTCCACACAATATGAAGGCCAGCTGCATTAAACGGTTTTTTTAAAAGTTTTGATTTAAAAATGACTATATGAAAGTGGCTCAAATCTGATTTGAAAAGAACAGTCAGGGCCACATTTAGGCAGAAAAAAAAGGGTTTATGCCACTTTAACCTTGTGAGGTGAACGTAGCCATTTAGTCTGAGTTGGTCTGGCACGAGTGAGAGAGAACAGCCTGACCCAATATAAGTACTTATGTGCACATTCCTCTGGAGTGTAACCAGTCCAAATACTGATTTCCTGGATATCAAAGGCCAGAATACAGTTACACTGTGAAGCTTCCAGCTAGAAATCCAGAGTTCAAAAACACTGTCCAAGCCAAAGTACCAGAAACATGAAAACACAAAAACTGTGAGTAATGTAGAGCAGGGGTGTCCAAGTCTGATCCTGGAGGAATCCAGTCAAGCAATAATCAAACAGTGCTGGGCACTGGAACTCCAGCACTGGAGCTGGACACCCCTGGTGTAGAGCAAGGCCACAATATATATCATGTTGTCACTGTTGGACAAAAACCTCTGCTCTCCAAAATGATAACTTTACAGGAGAAGGAAAAATATAACTTTCAATGTCAGTTAATATAAAGAGTTTTTTTCATCAAAATATTTTTACACAATATAAAGGACGGCTTGTATTATGTCAAAACATGAAAAATGTAAAAAAAAATGTAGATAATAGCAATGAGTCTTATTTACTAACCAATCTTAAAAAGAATTTTCTTCTTAAAACCCACTTACGCAATTTTCACGAACATTCTGACATTCACCAATGTTTCCTTATTTTGGATTTGTTCTCAGGTAAGAACAGAATCTACGAACACTCAAGAGCACAAAGGTGCGAACAGTTTTGCGGTTTAAGAATATGTCATGAATCTGACATAGACTTTTTTCTTAGGACCTCTCAAGAACAAATTTAAGAAAACACTTAGGAAGATATTGGCGAATGAGGCCCAATGATATGTATCATGGTAGTAGTGCCCAGTTTAAAAAGGAAGAACTAAGACTAAATGATTTTGTTAAATTCAATGTTTCCAAAAATAACCTGTTTGAGAAGAAACAAGGAAAAATCAAGCAACTGGTAAAATTACTTTAATGGTATAATAGTATAATGGTATAATGAGTTGGCTGCTGTCAAGGTCGTAGCCATAACTTTTACAATGGGGTGGCCGGGTTAGACCCAGACAGTTTTGGAAAAGAAAAACTGAAACAAAAGAGAGCCACATTGATAAAATAACATAAAAAAGTGGTGCATTTAATAAATTCTGTGAACTGATTCTGCACATAATTCCACATAAATAAAATATTAAACCAAGGCAGTTATTGCCAAAATCATAAGACAAAACCGTTTGATGTAATGTTCTTTATTCTGTCATGAGAATGTTAATTTTCAGTAAAACATTAATATAGCTGGACCTTAGTTACTTATTTAGGCTTCCCTTGTTACGGGTTACTCATGAGTCTGATATGAAATCTAGCCAAAGTATAAGATAACAGTATGGGTGAAAAGGCTGACCTAGCTTTAGCACAAACATGTTCCTCTTAGCACTTGATTTGCCTCAGATAGAATCTAGCTCACAGCATGTGCACTTTGAATAGTTAACACACATTACCATTAGATAACCTAATAATGCAGCACTGCTGAAAGGATACAAAACGAAACTGAGTGAACTGGGCAATGGATTAATGTGGTCATTAAACATAATTCTATGAAAGTTAACAAAATAATGTTATTTAGTGGTTAAAACATTTTTAAATATAGTTTTCACTTTCACTCACAACACTTACAACAAGTGTTTTTGTTCCTGTTTTTGAATGTTCTATGAACAACGTTCTGTAGCAATTCCAGTATCTGCTGAACATTGTTACAATCTTCACATGATCTACATTAGGCACAACATATAACAACACCAAAATGCTGTACATTGATGTAGCGGTTTGTTCATATACTTACTATGTTTTCCTAATGTACATTCTTAAAAAGGATGGTGCTTCAGTGGTTCTTTAGTAAAGAAAAACGTTCTATATAAAACCATGACCACTTAAAGAACACTTTGTGTGATTAAAGGGTTCTTTTCATCATGAAAGGGTTCTTCAGGTTGATGGAGAATATGCTGTACATGGACCTACAAAGAACCTTTTTGAAAACGGATCTATATAGCAATCAAAAGGCCTCTTCTGTTGTTACGGTGTTAAGCTTGTAACAATAGAAGAACCCTTTTGGGTGCTATATAGTATCCTTTGAGTGGTTATGTCCTATACAGAACGAGTGTAGAAAGCCCATTTAAGCAACAAGCTTAATGTTAAAGCTTTTGCTAGCATTCGTTTACAAATCAGCCTATCACAGTGAGATACGCTGATTAAAATTCAGTGTTCTCAGACTCTTCTGGCAGAGTTTATCCGTACGTCTTAACCATTCACACAGGATAAGTAGGACAGATTTTCTCCAGTGATTGATTTATTGGCTGACTATCTCACTTTCTATAATTGGGTTGGCCCTAGCCACCCCGGCCCCCCCCTTGGCTATGCCCTTAGTTACTAATCAGTTTATGTCTTTTTATCATACATACAGTGTTTTAGAAGAGCTGACAATAACCACAAAATGCTCAGAAAGCTTATCATGACAGTGATGACACAATGTGAAATTGCCACTCCTATGAGTAAGTACAGGTCTAGAACAGTTTGAAAATGTTTTGGTTCAGCAAGTTTGAACAGCAGTGTCCTGACAGCAAAGCGACAAGCGAACATTTGTTCTTCCGCTCATGAAGCTGCCAATGAAAAGAGACTAGGAGCGTAGATAAGAATAGGGGACAGTGGTGAGAGTCTGTTGCTAAAATGTTCTCTCTCTCTCTCTCTCTCTCTCTCTCTCTCTCTCTCTCTGTCTCTCTGTCTCTCTCTCTCTGTCTCTCTCGCCTGGCCACAGGGCTTCTTTCGGCGCAGCATCCAGAAGAACATGGTGTACACCTGCCACCGCGACAAGAACTGCCAGATCAACAAGGTCACGCGCAACCGCTGCCAGTACTGCCGCCTGCAGAAGTGCTTCGAGGTTGGCATGTCCAAGGAAGGTGAGGAGGGTGGCTGGCATGTGGGCCGTCTGGCACAGCGCCCATAGACAGACATACTGACACACACACTCTGAAATTGAGCCATGAAGACTAGAGCGCAGATCCAAACAGAAATAGAGAGCAAGCAAGCTTGCAGACAGCATACCTAAAAACCCCTGAACGCCGACCACCAATTAGTGTTACTTTCATTAGGTAATTTCACTTCAAATGTATCCTGAATGTTTTTCATGTAGTATTATATTCAGTTTTCTGTTAGAGTTTATTATGGGACAAATTTAGTTATGGCCAACAAGGCTGGTGAAAACATGATTGGTAGCTAATATAATTAGCTAAGGTAATTGAGCTAATATCAGGCTAATATTAATATTAATCCATGAGGGCTCATGCAAGCACACATACACACAAGTTGACTGCTGGTATTGCAAAAAAGAGCTTTTTTTCTGTTGAACTTTGATATTATGGTGGACATTAAGATACTTAAAGGGTCCCAAACATCCAGTCTGGGGCCTTTTTAGTTTGTTGTGTTGTCTGTGACTCACTCCTGAAGGTTTTGATCTCAGATCAGAATGCAAAAGTTTGAATGATCCCCCTGAATGATTGTTTTTGTTCAATTTTGTTGAAGTGAAAGTACGTTACAGGGAACAAACTTAATTTTGGCATTTTCAGCAAATTTTGTTGCACAGTTTCTATTTATTTGTGTTTAATATATTGCAAAAAAAACATAAAATATAAATTGTGCCACAACTTTTGCACAGGCCACATTTTATGTTTAAATTTTTTCCCAATATGTTAAATACAGTAAATAAACAGTCATTGTTCATTAAAATGTGCATAGAACTGTACAGAATTCATCTATTCATGCTTCTCCCACAAATGCATTCTTTTGTAGCTGCTGTTGAGAGGTTGGCTGAGCTTTAGAGAACGTTAAAGTCCAATTGAACCCAAAAAAGAAATTGTAATATTGTCAAAATATTTACATTTAGAGTGCATTATTACTTTATTAAACTTTTAAAAGTGTGGAAGGTCACATTAATAGTGGATGTTGTTTTTTGTCATGTAACCAAGCTAACGTTAACATGGTGGCACATTCCATGTTGTGGTCATTTCGGGCCTGCCGAGATGGTCTAGCTGGGTAATTTAGCATTTTACTGTTATGCATGGATACTAAAGAAACGTTGTAGCTGCCCAAAATGAATAATTCATGTAGTTTAACTAAACTGAGTGCACTTAATACCGTAATAATGTAGCTCACAGAGCAGTACTAAGAATGCCTTTGTGGGTGGAGCGTGGATTTTCAGTACTTCTCTTTGTTGTGTCAGTATTTCACATGTGGTCATATGCAAAACTTTGTGTGCTCAGGTAAAATTACATGTTTTGTTGATTTTCTAAGTAAAAAAATAGGTTAACACATCATATACATAGAACACGCATCTGCGCATTTTAATGCACATTCACTGCAGCTGAGTTTAACAGATTGGGAAGAAAAATAAAACATAAAACTTGGCCTGTGCAAAAGTTTTGGCACATTTTTATTTTATGTTTTGTCTTTTTCCAATACATAGAAATTGTGGAGTGATATTTGTAGAAAAATGCCATATTTAAGTTTATTCCCTGTAAGGATGGGTTAACTTGATTCAACAAAGTGTGTAATTTGACCAGGGATGTTCAAATGTCTGCGCACAGCTGTACAGCGGTAGTAGTTGCCAAATAAAAAAGCCACACATTTTTAAGTGGGCATATGCAAATCCTTGTGGTCTCCTAAAGCGTTTTGGGGCATGTTGTGTTGAATATGTGATCCACTGAGAAGTAGAGGAAAAAAGTGAGAAAGCATGGGAAAGTCACAGTATCAAGCAGCATTATCCCAGCGCTTTTCACTTTTTAAGCGAGTCCCTCCCTGCTTACATCAATCAGTCAGCGTTTGGTGTGATTATTTTCTTTTTCATTGGTAGCCCTTCCTAAAGCGTTTTTATGACCCTGGCATTAACAGATTTGTGGCATGGCAAAGATAATAGCGCCAAGTTGAAAGGCTGCAGGCTGGCCATGTGTTTGTTCACTTGCCAGGGTCACGGCAGTGATCTCACCAGGAGAGTGGCACATTGGCCCTCTATGTGTCCGCGGGGACATGTATGTGTGTGTTTATATGTGCGGGATGTGTGTAGAGACCGGGATCACATTGTGCCTTTGCTATTACTGGATATCCTGAGAGGAAGGAAAGAATGGGAGGGAGGAGGGAGGGGGGACGGGTAAAGAGGGACATGCCTGGCAATGTGGACATGTGATCCTCCGGGTCAGACATATATGACGGCAAGCTGTTCCCAGATCAGTTTCCACCTACGCTGTTGATTTTGGCTTCATGATCAGGCCCTGGGTTTGTACGGCTGATCCTGTATCAGCTGTTGAAGGAAGAGTTTGGTGAGAAATCAAATGTACACAATAGTCACAAGCTAAAGCCTCAGCAATTAGCATCCCGCTCAACACGAACAGAATACAAGCTTCATGAGGGCTGCTACTGTTTTTAGCTGTGCTACGTACATTTGTCCATTCTGAAAAGTACGTCATGCAGTGTCAGAAACCGCATTAACAAGTCTGTGAGATTATTTAACAACTTGATGCAGTTGAATGCAAGTGTGTGATGATAAGCATGCAGTTTCCACAATGCTAATTAGCGTAGAATAAGCTTTGGTTACTTGTCAGCTAATTTAGCCTTGTAGCTCCAGTGTAAATCAAAAGAGGCAAACTTTGGACACAAAACATTTCTTGGCTGATCAGCTTCATTTGGGGTTAGGGGAAAATACTGTAAGCTTTTTCGCCAAACTATCTCTCCAAGAATGACTCATTATAGGACATTTCTCTGGCTTGTCATTTTGCAAAGATTCACCAGAGAGCATTCCAGCCGCTAAGATAATAGCTTGGCAATGGTACGGTGAGCCTGATTCATGGCAGAGGTGTTGACTCGACTGTCTGTATATGACCCTTAGCTGTGCGGAACGACCGCAATAAGAAGAGGAAGGACGTGAAGGAGGAGGTGGTGCCGGTGGAAAGCTATGAGCTGAGCGGAGAACTGGAGGAGTTGGTGAACAAAGTGAGCAAAGCCCACCAGGAGACCTGCCCCTCACTGTGCCAGCTGGGAAAATACACCACAGTGAGTTAAACCCCACAGCAAATAGTTAGGCCTCTCATATGCAAATGTACACACAACTCACTAGAATCAGAGATGCCACATATATCATACCCGGTAGTATTGGCAGAAAATGTTGGACAAAAAGAATCTGATTGATTGTGTAACAAACCTGAACATCACAGAATTGCTTGTAATGCAGTATATCGTAAAGTGATGTAAAGCAGTTCACACAATAATGGTCCTCCTGGAAAGACAAGCAAAGGCCAGCATGAATTCCATGCTGGTCTAAGCTGGTTTATGGTTCTCTGGTGCTGGTCACCCAGCATGAACATACTGGTTGATCAGAATACCAACATATGCTAGGTTTTGCTGGTGATCAGCATATTAACTTGTATTGCTGCTGATTAGCATACCAGCATCCAAACCACAACATATGCTGTTTTTTCTAGCAGGAAGTAGCCACCTATAGCCTAACATCAGCATTAGAACAATTACCAGGCTTGCCAAGTGATCTAATTCTAGAACAAACCAAAATAACTCAGAATTGCTTGTAATGCAGCAGAATGTAAGTATAGCAGGTCACATGGTAACAAGCGGCTCGCTGAGTAATAGAATTACATTTTTTTAATTTTACATAGTCTAATTTCACATCATTGTAACTGCTATAACTGTTTTGTTTCGGGGTTATTTTGTGAAAGCAGAAAAAAGCTTTTGTAAGTCATGTTGCTAGCTGTGCATTTCCTACTGTGAGGTACTCTAATGTTTGGGTAGTTTGAGCATGATAACCTACTTTTAGACGCTCGTCTTAACTGACGTGCTTCAGTTAAAAATAGCTCATTTAAAGCTTAGTGGTTTTTTTTTTTTTTTAAGACAGATCGGTATTGGTGTCAGGGTATACTCTAGATTCAGAAAAGGAAAAAGTTGTATTGTGTCTCTACCTAAGACTGAATCATTTTTTTACAAGGTTTTGCAGTGCAGCGAGGCAGTGAGTAAAGCTTTATAGCTTTATGCATGCAGTAATATTAGTACTACTTTGGCCCTAAATTTAGCAGACCTTATCACGCACCTAAATAAAAACCGCATTACAGCTTATGTTGTGTGTATACAAACGTGTCTCTTGGGCTTTTGAACACTCACTCAGCCGCTCCTCATCTCTTTCTCTCTCACTCTCTCTGTCAGAATTCCAGCTCAGATCACCGCGTGCAGCTGGATCTGGGGCTGTGGGATAAGTTCAGTGAGCTTTCCACCAAGTGCATCATCAAGATTGTGGAGTTTGCTAAGCGCCTCCCTGGCTTCACAACCCTCACCATCGCCGACCAGATCACCCTCCTCAAATCGGCCTGCCTGGACATTCTGGTAACTTGAACATTGACTGTTTAAGCCACAGTGCTAATCGTTGTAATTAAGCAATGAAATAGCTTGCAAAAACACAAATATAGAGTACTGTGCAAAAGTCTTGTGCAAAAAAAGATTTTTTTACAGCTGCTTAGTACCAGACAGTGTAGTTTTGATAATAAAACACTATATAACATAACATATAACTTAGTGATGTGAGCTGGTTAGAAGAACACGGATTTGGTTTCTCTTCTGTAATCATGATTTAATGATGTATAATTTAATGATGAAATATTGTTCAGCAAAAGAAAAAAAGTACCTTAAATGTACGTTAACGTATTCCAAGTAATTTTGGACCATTTCTGTTCACCCGTTTGTTATGCAATGTTTCAAATGAGGTTTTGATATGACAGCAACGTGCGACTCTGAAACCTTTTTATAACTGTCGACTGTTATGACTGTGTCAGATGCTGCGGATCTGCACGCGTTACACACCGGAGCAGGACACCATGACATTCTCAGACGGGCTCACCTTGAACCGCACACAGATGCATAACGCAGGCTTTGGCCCACTCACTGACCTGGTGTTCGCCTTCGCTGGGCAGCTGCTACCTCTGGAGATGGATGACACAGAGACAGGCCTCCTCAGCGCCATCTGTCTGATATGTGGAGGTACTGCACCTTGTTTTAATATTGTGACAGTGCTGCACTCTGCTGGTAGGACCTAGTAGGAACAGCAGGGGTCTATCGTCATTCACAAAAGATTAAAACGTGTAGTTGCTGGTTTAGATACACTGCCCTTCAAAAGTTTGCTTGTCACGTTTTAATAGGGTGAGCATGTTTTCTTTACTGGTTTTCAGTATAGCTTCTTGAACCTGCTGTTCAGATGTTGCCATTTTTCTTTGTGAACCAGCTTAACTGAAGGAACAAAAGTGCTACCTTGAGAATAATGCTAAAGCATACACAATTAATCCCCTGTTGTGGTGCTGTGATGTCAGCAATCATCAGCACTCCAGTTTTTCAGATGTTTAAACCACGTTTGGGCTTAAAGAGATTCAATATGTCCTTTTAACAATTCTTTGGTGAAGAAAACTGTTAAAGAAAACTGCACATAGAATCCTCCTGAACTGATGAAAACACATAATTCAGATTTTTTTCAGATGTATGAAAAACCACACACGTGTTTCTTTTATCCATTCCAAAATTAACCCAAAAAAGGAAAATGGTAATTCCCATAATTAACCCAGCAATAACTGTTCGTCCTGTTTTGCCAAACAACTGTCCGTGAAGACAGCATATGAAGCATATGTCTGATTTGATTGTTGTCCAAGGCTAAATCCGAAAAGTTCAATGAAATTTCTGCTCTTCTTCGCTTTCTTAAGTTTGCCTGATAGCCTTATGGATCCACATCCTAGTCAGCTCTGCTATGATATTTCATGAGGCCATGGGCTACAGATCAGGCAGATTCAAGGAAAGCCTGGAGGAAAGGATGTTTCGGATGGCGTCAAAGCAGCCACTGTGCAAAACTGTCAACAGTGATGACCACATGTTGACGATTTTGGAAAACGCTTCTATTTTGATAACATCATTATTTATTTTCCAACATTACTGTAACCAGAGAACTAATAGTAACATTATTAGTTGTGTGTATGTTAAATCCTGCTGTATATTTAAAACACACAAAATATGCTCTGTACTTTTACTGAATTTTGCTATGAACAGACTACTTAAAAATTTTTGAGTTAATTCTGCAGTACCTCTCATTACCAGTAATTCCCATTCCTCCCACAAAATAACATTAAAAAGTAACAACAAAGTTCTGTGCCTTATCATGCCAGATGCTAACTTTGGCCAAAAAACATATTTAAAGCTGGTGTTCAAGGCAAAGATGGGCACAGTAAATTAAAGAAATCAATACTGATTATGTTAGTAATGTTTGTAATTATTTTTGGCCATCACTGTACAAATTAAAGGATACTTTGGGGTTCCTCAGCTAGCCACACTAACGTAGTGGAACCCTTTAGGGAGTCTTGAGGAACCCTTTTGAAAATGGCAGTTTCCTTCAGGAACTGTTTTATCCAGCATGGTCTGCAATCCTTTTGGATGCTCTGAAACTGGTTATTTCCAGGTAAAAGGTTATTTTAGGCTTTGAGGTCTACTACTATATATCACCCTATATTATACATCTTATATTTATAAAGATTTTAGTTTCTGTTTTGGACTAAAACATGGCTGATCAACTTTGTACTTCATTTGGTTGCTTAAGGAAACTACTAGAATTCAAGAGGACTTTGAAAAAATCCATAAAATGTCTAGGTTCTTAAAATAACCCCTTTAGGCCTAGTAACTAGACCAAAGGGTCTTGAGGGCTTACTCAAACGAAAAGGAGCTGAAGTGTGGTTCTTGATGGAATCCAGCAAGTCAGTTAGAGGTTCCTTCAATAGCTTTTTCTCATTCGTCCAGTAACACCATTATATGGGAAAGTTCTATTGGATATTTGAGGCACCTTTTGGTTTTAATGCATTAATAAATTTGATGTAATAAAAATGGTCATATTGCGTAGCAAATAAAGATTCCAAAATACTTTGGAAAAGATGAATCAGGAGGCCTTTAAAAAGAAAATATATGTATATTTATATATAAACAGTATATAAATTGATTAAATAAATGGATCTGTCTGTTTCTTACTGACCTATAAGAGAATTCAAAACATGGATAATAAACAAATTGCTAACTAATTGCCAGATCTTTGAGAAGGACACGTTTTAATCAATAATATATTTTTGGAATTGAGCAAGAATAACCAAGAAATCATGAGAACACTGCAGTATGTTAATGCTCTCCCTGTCTCTGTGCAGACCGTATGGATCTGGAGGAGCCTCAGCGTGTAGATCGTCTGCAGGAACCGTTGCTGGAGGCACTGAAAATTTATGCCCGTCGCCGCCGGCCCAACAAGCCCCACATGTTCCCCCGCATGCTGATGAAGATAACTGACTTGCGAGGCATCAGCACCAAAGGTCAGTCCACCTGCAGTGTCCACACAGATGTTCAGTCCAATTTAGATTTTGTTTTTTTTTAAGAACTGGCCAAATCCATATAAACCTGTTTATAAGCTAAAAAACATTTGGACACTATTAAAGTATTTCAGGAACAACTTCTACAAACTGATCAGCTGTACATGAATAGTTATCTTTTATATTTTGTCTTGCCGTCTTTTGGATTCAGTTATATTTAATCATTTGTTATTTTATATGCAGTAACAAATTACCTAACATAGATTTAAGTATTATAAACTGGACTCCAACTTCTTTTGGTTTCTTTGTTTTATTCAGTACTTTGAGTGTTTTGGAAAGAACAAGTAAATTGATTTTACAATGTAAACACTTGCCAATCAATCAGCTTTTACATGAATGACAGGACAACATTCTCTTGTATATTTTCTGTTGTCATTCTAATAATTTGCTGAATTACATATATTTCAAATATTTTGGGAACAGCAAAAAGTTATTAAATAATCAGTAATACACTGTACAAACTGACCAGTCTACTGACAAGACCGCATTCTGTTGTTTATGTTCGTTATCGTGTGTAGATATCTTCTGGTGGGGCAGTAGATACTTCCGTGGTTAGTGCAGAGCTATTGTGCTGGGCTTGGATTCTCAGAAATGTTTTAGCATAACAGCTATAGTTACATGGTAGTGCAATCTGAGGGGAGGCGTGTGCAAGCGCTGCACTGTGTGAAGGAGCAGCAAACATCAGTTGCTGTTTAAAACTCTTTGTAGGAGGATGATGGCATTTCATCAAACACCACCCTTTCAATATAACAATGCCATCACATGGTTTTTGGAAAATGTAATCTAGTTTGATTTATTGGATCATTCGTCACAGTTTATTAAGTCTAGACTAAGGATGTGTCAAAGTATTTCTGTCTCCAGTCCGAATGAAGTCCAAGTTGAATTGATTTGTGAGTTTGGGCTGTGCCTTCAACTTATGGTGGTAGTATGAGGGGAGACTGTCTGAGGGAGGAAAGAGAACTTTGGCTGGAGTTCTTGGTGGGGATTCTGAATACCTTCTATTTCTTGTGATGAAGTTGAGATGGGAATTTATAGAGCATTAGACTGGTAGGAGTAGGGGTTTTAGGCATGGTCGTGCCCCTGAATTCCAGTTATTCAGTTGTTCAGTAACTCCATGGATCTGCTATTTTTTGGTCTGATCCGGTGTTTGTTTTTCTATGGATAATATAGCCACACAGTGCACACTTTAAGTACATTAAAGTTTGCAAAACCATTCTAATTTAGGTCAAATATGCCAGGCTGCTAAAAATATAAAAATCTGCTTTATAGACTGTTTTTATTGGAAATGGCCATTTTATAGAGTCTTGAGTACGCTGCTTTATTGTTACAGTGTGTAATAACCACACTGTCAAAATCTATGGGTGACTAGTTTTATCGTGCTTTGGCAGTTTAAATAGCTGCAGTCTAAATACTGGCATTGCAGATATTACAAGTGGCTGTAGTGCTGTTTTCATTTTCCATTTTAAAATAGTTCCACATTGCAAACATTTAGACCACTTGTTTACTTTTAAACATTAATAATGTCTGTTTACGTCTGCTCTACAGCTGTCACATAATTGGATCACAATGGGGTAAAATAGCCTTAATAAAGGATCAGAATTACATTGGACTAATAGCAGATATAAAACCCAATAAAATACCTTTGATCATCTCTGATACCAATACTTCTGATTAGATGCTTAAAGTAGACCCTACCAACTTTACCAAGTTTCTATTGACAGTGTAGTGTGTGACAAGACTGTAGTTGAGTAAAGTAGCCTTAAAAAAATTGGAATTACCTTTACCGATGCTTTAAAATATGCCCCTTGCTTTCAACACCAATCTGTCAGATTGGAGTGGGACATTTCTAGATTAGATCCTCCCACCTTAAATGGCTTTTATTGGGTTTGTTCCAGGAGCGGAGAGGGCGGTCACTCTGAAGATGGAGATTCCAGGACCCATGCCCCCTCTCATCCGGGAGATGCTGGAGAACCCCGAAGCGTTCGAGGAGCAGCCTGAAGCTAGCGAAAGCAAAGCCGAACCTCCTGCCCCGCCGGCCCCACCGGCCCCGCTGCTGACCATGAAGACGGAGCGCGAGGACGAGGACGACAGCTGGGCCAACGAGAACGGCAGCGAGCCGTCGCCGGAGGAGGAAGACGACGATGACGATGACGTGGAGGAGGAGAGGGAGACGGACAGTGATGGAGAGGCCTGGAGTGGTCAGGAACCCAATGTCCAGGACATGTCCAGAAAGAGCCATGGGGGGAGAGCCCAGTGAGCAGGCTTCTGTTCATACACACACACACCTCATACCAACAAGCCTCCCTTCGACACCTTAATCCCCCCGGCCCGCCTCCTTTTTGACCCCCCCGACTCACAACAATCTGCCCTCAGCAGAGGGCAAACATAGAGCCTTATCAATTCAGCCGCCTATAACTCAGGCCTCACGGTCAGTGATCAGAGACACGCTCAGTCAGAGACTTAAAAGATGCACGCCTCTTCTCAGGAACTGTCTTCAAAGGGCAAAGAGGGAAGACGCGAGACTTAAACAACTGACTTTCTAGACAAAACAGCAGTCGCTTTTTTTATACTATCGCGTTTGTATTGAAAATAAAGGAGCAGCCAAACCTACAGAAGCCAACGTGAAACAGTCAGCTGTCAACGGGTTCAAAGTCACATTTCTCCAGAACACTGCAAGGAAAAAAAAAGAAAAGAAAAAGCTTATGCTTTTTTGTTGTTCTTGATGCATTTGAATATTGTCTTGACTTTTTCAGCCTTGATATAGTTCTCTTTACTTTTACATTTTATGAATAAGCCCATACATATCTATATACCTTTATATTTTTTCGTCTTTGTATACTATTTCTTCAGTTATGTATTGTTTTGGATAGCTTTCCCGAGGAGAAACAGAGAGAGAGAGAGAGATAATCGAATGACTATAAACTGGCAGACCTCTACTGAGTCTCTACCTGGTCTTTCTGGCTGGGTTCTTGAGCACTTTGGCTCATTGTAGACGTCGATGATAATCAATTCGATAGGAAAATCTCAACTCCCAGTTGGCTGATCCACATGTTTTCAGGATTGGCATTATGGGTATTAGTTCTGGTTATGACTAACACAGCATCTTTCCTGCCAATCGAATATTGTATTTTGTGCCAAAGCATGCAGTTTGTAAAGTGGGAAGAGAGTTCAAGCTCTTAAGCCAAACTCTAGAGAGGAAAAGTGTCAGTTAATACATGATGCAGGCCTTGTCCTAATAATTGACCTATCCATGCTCCACCCATAAATACATTCTTTTGCAGCTACTGTTGAGGCTTTACAGAATGACAAAATAATGAGGAATTGTAGCGTATATCTTGCCAATTTTTGGCAATTTTTTTGTTGGTGTGATCTCACCTTGCCTTACAGCTACAGCAATTATCTTTGATTAGATCATTGCCTAACTTTATAGGGACATTGTGTGGCTTACTGTTCTTTAGGATTATGGATTTCCGCCTCCATGGCTGTCACCAAGTAGTTTGACTTTATTGGCAGGCTATCGCTTGAGGCAACATATTGTGGCACTGTCTGTTTTAGTCATACTGTGTGCACATCTGGCACATATGATGAGGAAAATGTTGCCAACCTTCCCCCAGAACATTTACCTTCTTGCAGGCCCATCCTAAATGTAATCAAGGAGTTTGAATTTAAGATTAGAATTTAAGTCTGCAAGAAGGTAGATCTCAAGGAGCAGCATTGGTGACCATTTCAGCCATTCTACAGTATTTAGCATTGAAGACATAGCTAGCTAACTTTACTCTTAGCCTAGAAGTATGCTATAATTTGTCATAATGTTGAAATTTTGTCCTGTAAAGCTTGTTCAACCTCAATTTTTGTCCAGCAAAGCTTGTTGAATCTCAGATTTAGTCCCACAACCTCAGTTTGTCCCGCAAAGCTTGTTCAATCTTGATTTTGTTTGTCCTGTACAGCTTGTTCAACCTTGATTTTTGTCCCATTTTTCTCCGATGTTTTGTTCCACCTCACAAGAGTACACATCTACGAAAGAACATGCTTGTGGGTGGAGCATGGATAGATCAATTGTTCTAATTGTTTCATGCTAATCCCGCTTCGTTCCGAGTGCTCAGGGGGAGGTCTGCTATTGGCCATATATGTAGCACTTCAATAATGCTGTTGTAAAACATGGCAAGCTTGGTGCTGACTGGTGTACTTATCATACAGAGCCTGGGGATTCCAGCTTAGCAAGAAACCATCCTTCAGATCAGGTGCTTAGCTTTGCTAAGATCCGAGTGATTAATAACTCACGCTCTCACTGATGTGCATAAAAATCACATAGCCGCATCTTATTCCCACACTTGGAAAGCACATATCCTGCATGTTAACAGAACTCTTCATATACATATATATATAAATATATATATATATATATATATATAACATGGAAATTCAGACTCAGGGCATTTCGGTGAGGACCAAACACTAGCTGCCTGCAGGCATGCTACAAAACAGCAATATTTATGAGTGTGGTTTTGAATATGTCGGCTCAGTTTAGACGTCCTACTTGGAAGTGGAGACATCTACATACTTTAGTTAAAGCCATTGTAAAACTTTTATATGCTCTGTTCATTATAGGAACGATATGGTCATTTTTTAAATATCTTGATCAATTCAACTGCCAAAAAAAAAAAGAAAAAGGAAAAAAAAAACACAGCATGCCATTAGGTGACAGTGTGTAATTGAACAAGTACCGGGTTTTCAGTTATGCAATACAGAAACCAGCTGTGCGTGTTGGGGTGTCTCTGGGATTGTGAGGCTGTTACTGTGGAGCAGCCTGTAGTGTATTAGGTCATCAGATGAATGTCATTTGTGTGGTGCTGTAACACTGAGAATGTGAGCTCATGTACATAAATACACACTCTCACACTTTTCTCTCTCCTGCCTGCACAGATTCACACAAAAACACCTTCACTTGTCACAGTGTTGTCCAGTCTATTCATTGGTGCCCCTTAGTCCGCATTTTTGCTCCCATATGCCTTAATCAAGAGTCAATACCACTGAATCACTGGCTACAATTGACATATCTGTGCTCTGCCCCCACATGCATTCTTTCAGGGTAACTATTGCAAAGATGGACATGTTACAGGCAAAAATCCAATTAAGCCTAATGTGAAATTGTCCAATTTTCCAGTGCAGCACAGCTGAGCTGGACTATGTTGTTGTAGCTGATTGAAATTAGGAATTTTGAAAAAGACAGCAACGAATTTGCCATCTTGCTAATGTTAAAGCTGCTAGTCGTCCTGTAAAGCCTAAAATAATTATTTAAAAGTCAGAGGCATCAGGACGGATTTTGCTTGAGTTTTTCGGACCACATCATACATCTTTATGTCACACGCACAGACTCAAAAAAGAAGGTCCAGCTCAATGTTTAGGTCTCCAATGCAAAATCAACATTATACTCATGAAGATATGATGACATTAGCAGATAATTCACTCACATCCTCAGAAGACACATCCTTCAACAAGTTTTGACTGAGTTCTCTTTGAAAACCCTTTCAGTGCGCTCAGAGTCATCAGATTCATCCACTCAGGGAAGGGGACTGAGCACAGCGGGCGTTACAAAACATTCTTCGGCACATTGCCTCTAATTACACATTTCCACCAGAGAGGTCTCCAAATCTCAAAAACGTACATAGTGCTGCTTTATGTGACTATGTGACAAAAAACAACTACCATCTTAATAGTTTGACCTCTCACACCCAAAATACATATCATTTGAAATTAATTTCTAAAAGAATCCAAAATAAAAGTTTGAGTTTTAAAATCTGTTTGATCTGCATAATTCCACATTGTCACTGTTGAAACAAAACCTCCAACAAATAACTTTACAGGAGAAGCTAAAAATGTTCTTAACTTTCAGTGTGAGTTGATGTAACAAGATCTTATTCTAAGAATTTCATCATGAAATTTTGGCACATTGTGTCAAATTGAACATTGAAATTTGAACATTGTGTCAAATTTTGAAATTTGGAAATGTAAATGATAACTGGCATTTTCAATTCATGTGAAAAAATAAAAAACTAGTTTAATGAGATTTTTGCCAGTTTTGGAAAGCTTGTCCAATCTCTGCTTCTTAGAAAGAACATATATGTGGGCGGAGCATGTCACAAGTCAGTTCTTACTATGCCTTAACCAAGCAAGTAAAACCACGGACTACCTGATACAGTCGTGCTGGGAGGTGGGATATACTTTAGAAATCTGAATTTACTTGGCTGAAATATATACATTAGTTCCACAGGAATAAAATATATCACACCAACACTTTATTGTCCTCCACTTGACTTACATTTGGCAATAATTGTGTTGATGTAATAAATTTTATTCACATGGAAATGATGTACTTCATTTCAAAGCAGTGTACAGCAAAAACCTGGACTGCACATGGGTCGATGAGTAAGGTTTGGGAAACGCTGTGATCAGAAACACATGCATACACACACATACACACAGAAACCTCTCTCCTGAGCGCCTTCTGCAGTGTTGCACTCCTCAGCAACACATTGCTGTGTTGCAAACAGAATGTTGAGATTACGTTGTCTCATTTGCTCTTTTTCTTCTCCTCGATTTGGCTGAGGTATTCTCAATCCTCTGTTCATGTTCAACCAGCTCTGTTGTATCAAGAAAAGCCATATAAACATTCAGAGGCACAATAAAATGACTGTTTGTGAGACTGTTCCTTTTACATTGTATTTACTCCATTAATGTCCATATGTGAAATAGTACATATCCTTTGGAGGTGCTGAACGATTTGCGAAAAATTTTATTTTAATAATTTTTATGACCAATATTGCGATTGTGAGCTAAATTTTATTTTCTTCAAATTACGCTCCAGGCTTTTTTTTGCCAAGATGACAAGCACAAAAAGATGAGGCCTGAATTTTGAATGACGTGTGTCAGACTGCCAGTTTACAAACTCTGTGTTATTAGGTTAAATTTGTGCTGTTACTAAAGTAGGATATAATTAAAATTGTAGCTCTTGAAAATTGCAGTCTTTTAAATTGCAGTGTAGATATAAAAACGATCAACCGTTAAGCCCTGTCCTTTGGTCATACAGTCAGTTTAAACACTCCTGGCCAAATTATATATTTTGCCGATTGTCAAAGTGAACACAAGCTAACCCCTTAAAGTCCCAGGCTTATTAGATACTAAGGCTTATTATTCAGTAACCACAGGGACTTCAATGCAAACTCTTTGAGCTATTCTTAGGTTGTAGAATTGTGTAATAAAACTTTGGGCCCGTCGGCAGGCTCTGGTCTGTTCCTGGGGTTCACACATCCTCCACAGAGAACATACTTAAGTATGGCAAATATTATTGCATAGTTTCTAGTTATTTGCTGAGTTTAACATATTAGGGAAAATAGGACATTAAATATCAAGTATTCACACAGGCCATGTTTTCTTTTATTTTTTTCCTAATATGTTAAATTCACCATATAGACAGTAATTATGCATTATGCTGTTCTCTGTAGATGTGTGTTAACATGTTCACTTAGAAACTCAACAAAATATGTAATTTGACCAGGGGTGCCCAAACTTTTGCATATGACTGCAAGTTGTCTGAACTTAGCTGAGTACAAATCTGAAGATTTTTTTTCAAATCAATTGAACTGTGTGCTTAAAAAGTGTTTTGTTTTTTTTAATCAAAACAATAGAAAATCTATTTTTTGTGAATTAAAGTATTCAAATTACATGTAACTCTAAAAAACAAACAAACAAAAATCAAATCCAATCAATGTTGAGCATTGTAAGTTGTTGAGCCAAAGCAGAATTATGAATTATGACTGGGGGGCACCAGTACACTTCAGACCAGTTTCCTGGCCATTAATTAGACCTAGTTTTGGATTAAACTGCAGTGGTGATTCACTATTGGAGATTCTTTTTAGTTTCTGAGCTAGCTGTGTTTTTGGCTGCTGATTGGTGGGATGAAAGAAGTGGAAGGTGAAACATGATATTATTGGTTAAAGGAGAATTCAAATATATTGTTAAGTTATTGTTAAGTTATTCAGACTGGTTCGATGTGAAATAGGTCATTGCAGAGAAACATTACGGACTCTTCAGAAGACTCTAAATATTTCTTTACAGTGGTGCTGATAGGAACCAGGGGTTCTGATATCTACAACACAAATATAGCCATTTTATTTACTGTGCAAAATGACCAGTGAACCTACATGTCTTCTGAGTTTTTATATGTAATGCTGATGATCGTAAAACTACTTTGCCTCACAACATCCTACATGTATTCCTCCACCATTAGTTTTTATATATATTTTAGGCCACAATTAATTAATTCTCAAAACTGTCATAAAACAATGTCTCAAGCTCCAGGCAGCATATATATCATAACCATTTAATTCAATTTATTTCTGAGAGTAGCTTTCATAGACATTAAACTCTTCAGACGTCTGGTTCCTATCAGCACCACTGTGAACAATTTTGAGTTGGTAAGTTTGCTTAGAAAGGAGTGTTTCACACCAAACCACTCTGAGTGAATTTGTTCACATCATAATGATTGAATTATACAGAAAATCTGAAAAATTTGAAGAATTTGTGGATTCATTTGCCTGGTGAATGGTGATGTGATCAAATTGTGGAAGATGTTTTAGAGGTGGGCAAAAGTCACTATACTTCAACTGAATATTAAAGGAAAACATGAATTTTGTCATTAAGATTGCCATAGAATGATGAATCATGCTGAAAATCACCAGGGGTTTGAGCTAACAGGGTAAAAAAAAGTCCATTTTGATTTTAGGTTGACTTTAATACACCAAACACTGATGCAATTATTATTCGCTGTGTTATAAAACATTGGTCACCTTATTGAACAACATAAGCAAGGGGATGGCTGGGTGGCTACTTACATTAAATCTACTCTTAATGCAAACTCTTAATGCAGTATCCAAATAAAAATGTTCTGCTTTTTTTTAGCCTTAAGCATGTATGCAGGATACAATAACAGTTTTATGGTAGTTTCGATCTACAGACTTCGTTCCGCGCCCTCTCATGCTGTTGATGAAATAGCTTGAACTTTTATCTCCATACATCAACTTAGAAATGCTGATTCTAGATGTTTTTAAACTGAATTGGCTAACTAATGCATCTGGTCACTTGAAGGAAGTGTGTGGAAATCTCTAACGCAACTAATTACAGAACCAACACGACCAAACTTGCGCCACCAAGTCGACACTAATAGATTTAATATCATCTAACAGACCTGTGTATTTGACCCTGGTTTTAGTGACCACTGCCCTATGAATGCATTAGAAACACAGACATAATAAAGACAGACTCTCAGATTGTGGTTAGAAGAAGTTTTAAACATTTTAATGACCAAACCTTTTTACACGACCTGGTCCTCAGTGACCTTCATTACACTTCTAAAATCCCACACATCAAGTTAGCGGTGAATCATTTCAGAAAAACAATCTGGTTGATGGTAATCAAGCATGCCCCTTATAAAAACATTAGAATCCGAGATATATTAAATCCCTGGTTCAGCACTGGAATATCTTCTTTGCTCAATGCAAGAAATAAAGCATGGGTCCCTGCATGACCAAATGGTGACAGAGAACAATTCACCTTCAGGCAGTTAAGGATTAAATGTACTTACTATATAAGAACAGCTAAAGCAGAATAGCACTTCCAATTCTGAAAGACAGTTAATTCACTCAAAAACAAATCAATGCCTCATCAATGCCAACTCATATCGTACTTAATGATCATCGGATTTCTGAGCTCTGCACCTCTCAGTGAAATAGACACACCCCCTGCTGTAAGACATGGTCTCTTTACAGCTCACGCTTTCTCTCCTCACTTAGTACCTAAAGCCTTCAACACCATTAACACTAAAAAAGTACTGGACGGGATAGTTTGGATCCCTTTTGTCTGAAGCTTGCGTCTCTGATCATTTTAGAACGTTACCTCTATTTTTAATCTCTATATTTTATCAAACAGAATTCCCAGTACATGTAATTCCACTCCACAAAGGAGGTGATGCCTCAGATCTTAATAACTATCGACCCACCTCAAAATGGTCATGCTAAGCCAAAATCTTAGAATCCTTAGTAAATAATTAACTTATGACATTTCTTTCTGGAAATTCAGTTTTGTCAGACTACCAGTCTGGTTTTAGAGAACAGCATAGCACTTGCACCTGCTGTAAAATATTGGTTTTGACCACAGTACTACCAACTGATCTCTCTGATGGACACCAGACATGTGTGGCCCTGGGACAAAGTAAATCAGAGCTCTTATCAGTAACTAAGGACGTCCCTCAAGGTTCAATCCTCAGACCAGTATTATTTAATTTAACATCTATATTATTGGCATTGCTACCTCCATTGTTGATTGCAAAGTACATTCATATGCTGATGACGCTATTTTTTACAGCTCAGCTGACTATATAGGTGCTGCAGTGAAAAAACTGCAGTATTCTTTTAATGCCCTACAATCGGCTTTTTACAATCAGAGACTAGTTGTAAAGGTAGAGAAAACTAAAGGAATGCTGTTTTCTAGAGCTACTAACATGGATTTTAACACTTCTAAAATCATAACCCTGAAAGGGTTTAAGGGTTCTTTAGTAAAGAAAATGGTTCTACATAGAATCATGAACACTCAAAGAACACTTTGCATGATTAAAGAGTTCCTTGCATCGTTAAATGGTTCATCAGATTAATGTAGATGGTCAAGCCTGCAACAATAGAAGAACCCTTTTCAAAAAGGGTCTATATAGAACCATACAAAACACACTCCATCAATCCGAAGAACCATTTAACAATGCAAAGAACCCTTTAGTCATGCAAAGGGTTCTTTGAGTGTTCATGGCTCTATATAGGACCATTTTCTTTACTAAAGAACCCCTGAATCTTTTTTAAGTGTGTGTCTAGGCATATGTTTAGATGGCAAACACACTTTTAAATACTACATTAAAAAGCTCACATGTAAACTGAGGCAAAAACTTGGCTTTTTGTATTGAAACAAAATGTGTTTCCCAATGACCACAAGGAATAAGATTGCTGAAGCAACACTATTGTTTATTCTGGATTATGGTGATGTGATACACAGATACATATTTGCAACGTCTCTCAAATCTATAGACTCTGTAAACCACTCTGCTTTAAGATTCATTACTCCAATACCACCACGGTATTGTATTGTACTGTACTGAAAGGTTGGCTGGTCATCTCTGGCTGTGCGTCAGGAGACACACTGGCTCCTTTTGATCTAGAAAGCTCTTACTGGCCATGTGCCATCGTACATCACATAAATGCTTAGTGTAAATAATACACTCCAGCCCCAGTGATTGGATTCCTCGTCAGGTGCCGAGAGCTTTTACTGAACTGGGATAATCTGCTTTTAGCTGCCCCAGTGAGCTGGAATTCATTACAATAAAGCTTCACTCTCTGGTATCACATCAACATTTTAAACTTTTAGTCTCTAACCACCCCAGTAAGAAACGGGTTTGTTTGATTTTAGTTCACTTTCAGTGTGATTTTGGTATGTTTTAGTTATTGTTTTACATTTATGATTTTTTAATTTATCAACTGTTTCTTTTTAGTTACTGGTACATTATTGTTTTACATTTATTTAATTAACTATGTTTTTTATAACTTTATGCCTATTTGATATGTCATTACGTTTGTATTTTTGCAATTTTACTGGTTTAGTCTGATT